GGAGAAAAACCAAAAAAAGAAAAAAAAAAAGAAAAAAAAATTTAACATAATACAATACAAGTAGAACATACAATACAATACCACCATCATTAGGTACAAGCTTTTTCATCTCTGCTGATCTAAAAGATGAAAGATGCTGGCTTGTAATTTTTTTCCAGCACTTGGGGTTGAACTTAGGTCTTCACACTGAGGTATATGCCTAGCCTATTTTTTAATTTTTAATTTTATTATTAATACTACTATTATTATGTGGGTGGTTTTTTTTATTTTTATTTTTTTGGGGGGAAACAGTGTTTTGTTATGTAGTAGAGGCTAGCTTTGAACTATGTAGCCCAGGATGGCTTTGAACTGGCAGTAATCTTCCTGTCTCAGTCTCCCAGGTACTGGATTATTTTTTATTTTTGAGACAAGATCCCTACTGAGTCACTAAATTCCCCAGGCTGGCCTCAAACTTGCAGTGATCCTCCAGCCTCAGCCTCCCAGAGTGCTGGAATTACAAGTGTGTACCACCATGCCCAAGTTTGTAATTATTTTAATTTGTATTTTCCTTATGGTGAGCATCTTTTTAAGTGTATTTAATGACCATTGTACTTTTGAATCCTTTAATCATGTTTGTAGAAAAAACGATACTGAAATTGTTTGAAATATGTAACTTTTTTTTCAGCCCCCAAAGGCAGTTTTCTTGGTCTTTTTTTTTTTTTTTTTTTTTTTTTGTTTTTCTCCGGTACCGGGAACCGAACTCACGACCTTGCGCTTACCAGGCAGGCGCTTTTGCCGCTGAGCTAAATCCCCAGCCCCTTCTTGGTCTTTTTGAGACAGGGTCTCACTGTGTAGTTCAGGTTGGCTTTGAACTCACTTTGTAGCCCAGGCTGGGCTCAAACTCAAAGTGATCCTCCTGCCTCAGCCTCCCGAGTGCTGGGATTACAGGCATGCACCACCAATGCCTGGCCTGTAGTTTTGTTTTTGTTTTTTTGTGAAGGTAGAAGAGTGTCAGTCCCCAGAAGTATTCTAGCTCATCTCAGGTCATGGTCTTACTTGCTGGAGAGGTTTTCTTCTGGGTAGGAGGAATTGGCGCTTATAACCATGACACTTCAGACATTGATTTCCCTGTTCCTGGGGATAGAACTTAAGGCCTTGCACATGCTAAGTAAGCACTGTACCACAGAGCCACCTCCCCCGCTCCAGACGGTCCTTCAGAGTTTCTTAAATTCTAGTGTATTTTGATCTTTCTATTCTTCACTAGAATGACTTTATAGGCAGAAGGTTCTTAGTGAAGAAGCTTCTGAGATGACTACTTCCTCTTTGATTTCTGCACCTTGTAATTGGGCAGCCTTTTTCATTTCCATATTACCTGGTTATGACTTAGCAGGTTTGACTTTTTTATACATCTTAATGTCCCCTACAGATAACAAATTGTGTTGGTTTGACCTCTGGGGATACAGTTCATAAGCACTTCAACCCAGACTGACTTCACCTGCATAGCAGAAAACCCCGGGGAGTATACAGCTTCCAGGATGGCTGATGAGTTATTCAGACGGTGTCCTCCGTGCTCTCTCCATTTCTGAGTCGTGCATTCTTCTGAGCCGATCTTTGCCTTGGGGTTGCAGGATGGGCCCCAGTATCCCAGGGCTACATCCTGCCGATTTAGGAACCCAAGGGAAAGAAAGCACTTTCCCAGTAGAAGTGGGAAGAGATTTCATTGGCTCATCTTAGGTCACATGGCCAGAGTGATTCAGTGTCCTCATTGGCTGGGATCAAGTGCCCGGGCCATTCTTGGACCACAGGGTTTCTGCCATCCCTCTGGAAGCTGGGAGAGTTTTCATTGATCCAGCTCAGGTGACATGACCATCTCTCATCCTGCCTGTGGCCAGGGGATTTTAGTGCTCTGCTTGGCCAAGCTTGGGTCGAGTTGGAATTCTGTTCCCCTAGTTGCCCCAGGACCTGAGAGTGGGATCTAAGGTGGTTGAAGGAGAGACTGGATATTGGACAACCAACACCAACAACCCAGCCCTACACAACTGTATGACAAAAGTGTAGACTGGGTTCTTGAGTGTGAGTTTTGGTTTGCAGTCATTTGCTGTAATCTGTTACCGCTTAATTTATTGTTTTGTTTTCTTCTGTAGCTTTCCTTCATCTGCTTAAAACCACACAAGTAACATATAAATATATTCTTTTGGTAAATATCTTACTAACTTAGAAGGCTTTGGTGGAACAGTTTCCCATCCATCGGCCTTCCTATCCTATACCCCAAAAGGAACCTCAATAATTATTTGGCATGTATCCTTCTCGATTTTTTCTGTGCCTTTACAAGTATGCCCAGATGGGTTTTTTAATGTTTTTCTTTCATTTATTTTTCCTGTTTAACTTTTTGAACAGATACATTTTCACGGTTTGGACATCAAAACCTCTATAAAATCCTTTATGAAAATTCTGTCCATCCCTCTTCTGTGTTCACTGCGTTCTGTTCTCCCAGTAGGCACCATTTGTTGTTCATTTCTTGCTTACCCTCGGCAGTTTTTATGCATGTGCAGTTCACTACAAATATGTATCATATGGGGAGTCTCAGTTGATTTTTCCTCTGCGTAGAAACTTCTGGCTGTTATTCCGTTCTCATGCAGACTTGTTTAACCATTTCACTTTTGATGGGCAGTTGAGGTTCTTTCCAGTTCTTCCCCTTAGACATTAAACCTCTGTGGTGATGAAATCCTTGGACAAACATCATTGTGCATATCTGCCAGGATTTCTTTAGATACATTCCTAGAGCTGGAAGTGCGAGTGTCGGTCAAGCAGGTGCACGTTTTGCATATTGATAGGAACTGCCAAGTTGCCTTCCAAAAAGGCTCTACCAATTTACACCACCTCCCTCAGTGGCCCAGCGTGCCCCTCTCCCTGCATTTTGCCAATACTAGATATTATCCATCTCTTACGTACTTGCCAGTCTGATGGGTAGAAAAGGATATCACGTAGGAATTTGCATTTTCCTGCTGCGTAGAGAAATTGGACATCTTTTTTGTGCTGTTTCTTCCGTGTGTTGCCTGTTCACATCTGATGCCAATCCCCCTACCCCATGCTGGGGATTGAGCCTAGGTCCTCATGCCGAGCTACATCCCCAGCTTTTTAAAATTTTGTTTATTTATTTGGTTTTTGAGACAAGGTCTCACCTATGTAGTTCAGGCTGGCCTTGAACTCACTGTTGTAGCTCAGGCTAGCCTCGAACACGTGACAGTCCTCCTGGGTCAGCCTCCCGAGTGCTGGATTACAGGTATGCGCCACCATGCCTGGCTTTCCAGGATTTTTAAAATTTTGAGACGAAGTCTCACTATATCACTAAATTGCCCAGGCTGAGTTCAAACTTGAGAACCTCCAGCCTCAACGTCCCTGAGTGCTGGGGCTGCAGGCATGCATGCGCCATCACCCCTAGCCAGCCTGTTTCTCTTTGGGACCTTCTTTTTCTTTGCTGAGGTCGTGTATTGAACACATTATGATGAAGGCGTATTGTGTGTCAGGTACTGTTTGTTCCAGGCACGCAGGATACCGCAGTGATCTTGATGCAGCCCCTGCCCTCCTGGGGCTCCCATTCTAGAAACAAGAAAGGAATTAAAAGCAAACAAAGACATATACTCAATGGTGGCAGATGCTGGAGAGCAGAAGGAAGCTGGATAGAGACAATTCTCTGATTTAAAGAAACTAGCTCCTTGTGCTAGTAGCTGTCATGTATCTTTTCAGTTTGTCCTTTGCCTCCTAGCTATAATCAACTACATCTATACATTTGGGTCCGTGCAGAAGTATTTTTATGCAGGCAGATTTATAAATCTTTCCCTTTATGGTTTTTATGCTTGAAAAGGTTTTCTCCATCCTAGTGTTATCAAAGCTTGTATCCAGGTTTTCTTCTACTATCTTATGCATTTATTTGTTTCACTTAGGTCTTTAATCCATCTGGAACTGTTTCCAGTGTAAAATGCAAGGAAAGGATCCAGCTAAATTGCTTAGCTGGTTACAACCAGTCGTTAAATAATCCATTTTTCTCTTGGGGATTTAAAAAGGTGTCTGTGAGAGCCGGGTGTGATGTCACAGGCCTGTAATCCTAGCATTCAGGAGGCTGAAGCAGGAGGATCACTGTGAGTTCAAGGCCAGCCTGAACTACATAGCAAGAGCCTGTCTCAAAAAATCAAATAAGGTGGCATCTATGAAATATATTGTCTTTTTTTTTTTTTTTTTGGTTTTTTCTGGTACCGGGAACCGAACTCACGACCTTGCGCTTGCAAGGCAGGCGCTTTGCCGCTGAGCTAAATCCCCAGCCCCTATATTGTCTTTTGTATCAGCCATCCACATCATGATAGCTATTTGTTTTTTATTTATTTTGCAGTAGTGGGGATTAAAGCGAGTGCCTTCACACTGAGCTTTCTCCCCAACCCACCTGTCTTTCTTACTTATTTTATTTATTTTTTATTTTGAGACAAGGTCTTGTTAAGTGGATAAATTGCCCAGGCTGGGCTCAAACTTGTGATCCTCCTGCCTCAGCCTCCCAGAGTGGTCAGATTACAGGTGGATACCATCATGCCGGGCTGTGTATTTATTTTTGATATTTGGCCAAGTTGGCTCTTTGGACAAAGTCACTTCTCTGGGCCTCAGTTTCCTTTGTAAAACAGGAATGGTGTCAACCTGAGAGGGTTGATCTGAGAATGAGTGAATGAAAGGTCCAGCGTAGTTCTGGGGTCGGGTAAGCCTCTGAGAAGGTAGTATTTGGGTTGAGATCTGACAGAAAGCAAACGCACGCCTGGCAGAGGGAAGAGCAAAGGTAAAGCCCCGAGGCAGGGACTAGCTTAGTGTGCCGCAGTGTCCAGCCGAGAGAGAGCACGGCTTTACAGGCGACTGAGCCGGAGGACACCGGAATAATGGCCCAAGGCGAGTGGTTTGGTTGTCATCTTGAGGGCGCTGGTGAGCTACAGCGTGCTAGGGAGGAAAGGTGGTGCCCGCTGACCCCGCCCCTGTTCCCACAGTCGATGGAGTCCCAGGTGGAGGAGTGGTACCGCGAGGTGGGAGAGTTGCAAGCGCAGACCGCGGCGTTGCCGTTGGAGCCGGCGAGCAAGGAGCTGGTGGGCGAGCGGCAGAACGCGGTGGGCGAGCGCCTGGTGCGCCTGCTCGAGCCGCTGCAGGAGCGCCGCCGCCTGCTGCTGGCCTCCAAGGAGCTGCACCAGGTGGCGCACGACCTGGACGACGAGCTGGTGAGGCGCTCGGGGACCTGGGGCGGGGCTAGGATGACGGGGGGCGGGGCTCGAGGATGGGGCGGAGGAGGTGGAGACGGGGGTGGGGCCGGCGGCGGAGGGGCTGATGGAGTCGCTCCCTCAGTCTTACTCTTCACCCTCCCATATTCATTTACTCCTTTTTTTTTTTTTTTTTTTTTTAAATTGAGGTATCAGAGATTGAGCCCAGGGTCTTCCCACTGAGCTACGACCAAAGCAGAGCCTGTGGCTGCCCACAGAGGGGGCTCAGTGTCCAAGGGGGAAGTGGGTCTGCCCCAGTCTGACGACCCGGGTGGTTAGCCCCATCGTGGTGCGTCTGAGGGGCCTTAGCCGTCCAGAGAAGGCAGCTGCTGAACGTTCAGACAGGGAGGGCTTCCTGGAGGATGAGGATGTCTGAGCTGAGACCAGAAGGAAGAGTACCAGTGAGAGAGAGTGGGAAGGGAATTCCTTGAACCAGGACCTGGGTGTGTAAGCCTGTCCCCTAAGCGAGAGGGAAACAGCCTGTCCGCAGAGGAGGCTGGGGACGGGTCTGTCTGGGCTCTTAGGAAGGGCCCTGGATGCCGTGCAAAGGGCCTGCAGGTTAGCGGGGATGCAGTGGTCCTCAGTGCCCTCTCTCCTTGACCTGCCCCCTGGCTTCTCCCAGGCGTGGGTTCAGGAGCGGCTGCCACTGGCCATGCAGACGGAGCGGGGCAGCAGCTTGCAGGCTGTCCAGCAGCACATCAAGAAGAACCAGGTGAGCTGAGCCGGGGCGGGAGCTGGCCGGGGTGCATCTGGACACAAGCACTAGAGAACAGCTAAAGTGATTAAAGCCATGCAAGGAATCCACTGGCTCTTGTAATTGAAAGGACTGTGGACTGCCTGGCGTGGTGGCGCACGCCTGTAATCCCAGCACTCTGGAGGCTGA